ACTGGGGCTATGGTTTTGTCGAGTTCCTGTTCACTGTCCATTCCTGTGATAGCTGTTTTCTGTAATATTTTCAGTAACTGTATTACTGAAGATGTCTCATATTTGTAAATTAGTTTATTACAGGAGAAAGGTATCATCTACTGAATAAGAATTAATTTTCTTTCTTTTAAAATTGAATTGATCAACTCCAAGCTTTTCAGGTCGAAGACTCCATATAAAAGTTAAAAGCTGTTTAGAAAAAAATGGGAAGTAAGCTGTGACCTTGAATGTGTTTTATAGAAAGTGTGATTTTTTTCCTTACGAAAGGTTTGTCTCTGAGTTCTCACGCATTGCAGAGAGTCTTCCTTGTTCCTGCAGCACCAGTTAGTTGTGAAATGGAAATCCCCACAGTGTGAAGGGTTCTAAAACGTTGTCCACAACAAAGGAAGTGTGGTTGTGACGAAATACAAAAATGAGGTGTGTTGGGTTGCTTCTCCGTATCCATCACCATGGAGAGACCCATTGTTCTACAGTTGCATCTTTGCTGGGTTGCTTAGGGAAGGGCGTGAGGCAGAAACCATTGGAACGGGGCACTTGTAAAGGAGACCTATATCACAATAATGCGAAAGGAAATCAGTGTTTTCTGTTGAGATACTTTAGACGTGGACTTCCAGTTTTCAAAATGCATGTTTCAAAATTACCTCTGTGCAAAACTACTTGGAAGACTGTATTTTTTTTATTTTTTTTTTTTTTTAATGAAATCATTCTGTAATAAAATATTTCAAGTACTGGCTAAGCTGTAAAGCTTAGGGCTGATAAACAAAGCATCTGAAGCCAAATGGCCCCTCAGCTAACCCCAATTAAAATAAAGATTTCATTGCGCTCTGTCCTGACAGAGAGGGAACATATTGTTGCCTTTAAGGGAGTTTGGTTTAGTTAATGAAAGAATTTATTTCATTTTTTCAAATACAGAACCTAATTAAATAAGTTTCAACTTGACTTGTAGTTGAGGACATTTTAACTCCTTAAAGGTTACTTTTGTGTCCAAGCATAGCTCTCTTTTGAATAATTTCTGATGTACTATTTCGTTTTGTGATGAATAAATTTTATAGCAGATCTCACGCGAGTAACTGTATGCCTGTTTTATATACACACATACATACATGTTGTTGATTCTAAAAGTGTAAAACTTGTTATTGATGTTACTCTCTTCAAGCATCCTTTTTGGCATGAAGTATTACTCAGTAACAAACACTAGATTCTTAAAAGTAATATGGAAATAAAGGTGGCATGGTTTTGCTCTGAATGCACTTTAAAAGCTGTAAAATGATATATGTACATTGCTTACTCTTGCTGTTCAATGAAAAGAAAGATATATCAAGGAATTAGTTTTGGTGAAGCTCTCCAAGCAGTAGTTAAAATCTGTATCTCTAGAATGCTTTTTCTTAGAGAGTATTCATGGTGAAAATGAAAGCAGTTTGTAAGGATTATGAATGTGATTAGTTTGTCTTTCTTCAGTATTTTCTGTACTTGTATAGATAAAGTTCATCCCCCATTTGTCAACTACTAATTTATTACATATTCTTCACTAAGAATATATGAAAAATAAAGAACACCTTTATCTACAGCTGTTTTCTTCTTACATACGAGAACATTTTATACTTGATGCTTGAAGGCAATCAAAGAATGGGAAAGCTGTTGCTTAGCTTAATTTATTGCCTAAACTTTAAAAAAATGTTAAATGGCTTCTGTGTCTCTGATAGTAAAATCATGTGAGAAGAGTTACAGTCTCTGTTGAATGATAGTGAATAATGCTGTTCGGCTGCGTTGCTCGTACTTTGTCAATGTAGTAACCGTAATTAAAGGCACCTAACCAGCATTAGTTAGAAAGTGATGGGTTCTTTTAAGTCACTTGTTACAGAAGCTGAATCTAATCAAGGAAGTTGATGCTTAAGGTAAATAATTTTTAGTTGTAACAGGTATGTAAATATTTCCCCGAACGTATCTATGAAACTATAAATACACATTGTTTTGGAGCAGTGGCTTTCCAATTGATAGGGAGGACTTCTTGATCAAAATTTTAAAAACATACTTATGTTGTGTCCCCTTATTTGGGGATTTTAAGCTAACGTTTGGAGTATGTGTTCTCTTCCAAGTGTCACTTGGTTATATGTTCTCCTTTACATGTTGAATAAATTGCATTCCAGCTCTCTTAAAATGAGTGAGAAGCTTAAAATGAGTGAGAAGCTGTCTCTGGTAGAGGGCTATTGATTTCCGTAAGTCAAAGTCATTCCCAAGGCTTTTGACTACTTTTGCTTCAGGTCTGTGTGACTCCAGATTTGATTGTTACCTTCAGCTATGGAGGTAAGGGATAGTAAAATAATTTCCACCTGTGCGAGGAAATAAATTGATTTTATTTACAGATAAGTCACAAAATACTTAATAGATTGGGACAGGCTCATGGGTGCTTTTTAGTTGAAAAAGTGTGGGTGTGAACATTAATGAAATGAAAGACTAGATGGTACTGTGTCCTAAAAATCTCTTACTTATTTGGCATATGTTACAAATCTTGAGATAACTGAAACGCAGTGCTGTTCTTTTCTCTTCTGTGAATTTCTGTATATCATTATAATTAAGATGTTTCAGAAGTCTCAAGAATAGTTGCCAAACATAACCAAAAATAAAGCATCGCATCTAGCCAGAGTTCTAGATATGCTCGCTCTGCCCTAAAGCTATGTTTCCCATCCATTATCTTGTCATAGTTTATTGTGCTCAATTTTAATTAAATTTTAATAGCAATTTTGCAGTCATAACTGACATGAAAGTTTTCCAAAGACTATTATACCCACAGGATATTTCCCTTATGTGATTTTCTTGTTTCTTGTTTTTCATCTTGTCCAAATTATGTTCTTTGCAAAAGTCTTTGGTGATGGAGAGCACGAAACAGAAAATGGAGAAAATGGTATAGGGACTTCACTGTATCGGTTTACAACCAGAAGTAATCAATTGCATTTTGTATTCTTTGGGAACGTTGATTCTAATAGTCATATAAGTCTTAAAACTGATATATTTGATAAAGATCTTGGGTTTTATTTAATTTTACTTCTGTTCAGCGTAGTGTATACACTGAGTGTTTTGCATTTAAGTTTCAACATACAGATGCTGAATCTTTAAATATGAAAACTACTTTAGCAATGCTGAAACCTGCGGTTCTTGCTTTTCTGCCTTTAGGGGTATTATATTCACAAATGTTATGCACAGGTTTTACTTTGATAGTCCAGAATCTGAAGAGCCACTTTTTATGCTTAAAGAAACCCAATACAACCATCATTGGCTCATCAATCCTTATTGCTGCGTAGGAAGCCCTGTAATATTAATTGGTTGTCAAATCCCTAAGAAGTAATGGATTAATGCACTTGATCATAATGCCCTGTTCAGAAGCTGAAGTTCGCGGATGTCCCCGGCCTCTCTATTTAACGCAATTACAGATATGCATTCAGGACATTTGAGTGGATTGCATTTCATTAATACGATTTGAGCAGACAATACTAAGTTGCTGTTGGGGCCGCTCTGACAGCTAATTACTGAAATGAAGTGTGTACGTGGCTAAGAAACAATGGAGCACTTGTCAGGAACATTAAAACAGTGCAGAAATAGTGCCAAATCTTGGAATCACTCCTCTGAACAGTTTTTCTTGCCTCTGCAGACCAACCTTGGGACCTATATGATTCTAGTGGTGCATTAGACTGTAGTGAAACAAAGTTTGTTACCGTTGACTAAAATGCAATATAGTTCTGTTTTGCCCTTTTCTCTGTGTAATTCAGATGCTTGTATGCGCTTACCCTGATTGCTAAACACGCTTACCTCCTGCTTATAGACATCATTGCACATTTTCCCCCGTAAAATGTCTCATCTGGTTTTTTTCTTTATCTTATATTTGGGTATCAACCACTGGGAATGAGATGTTGCTAGAGAATTGCGTAACTTGTCATAAAGCAAAGTAAAAAAGAAAAAGCAAGAACTTGTTTCAGATGCTGGGTGGACAAGGCTCTCCCATCCCATCTCCATTTCAGGCATTCTGAGGTATTTTTGGTAAGTTGACTTTTGGAACAGACGATGTTTCTATTCAAGAATCTATGCCACACCTTCAGCATTGAGCACATTTTATACCCATCTGAAACCTTCTTGCGCACGTGTCATTCTAGAGTAAAAGCAGCAAAAGCTGTGGTGTGTTCAATACTGGGGAAGGGAGCTCATCTTGAGGCTTTTGTAAAAACCTGTATTACCCAATGTGGTTTTGTCTTTGCGATGTATCTGCAGAATTATTAAGAATAATATGACGCTGGCTACAAAGCATTTTTATCATCCAATTCGACTGACGTCTATATTGTAAGAGAAGGTGCTAGTTATTGGAGGGTTTTTTCTATTGATGTTAAGAGGAGTCTTGGATTACCAGTGCAGTTTATCTTGATATATCCCTGATTAAAACGAGAGCCAGTGCCACCTCGGAGCAGCTCGTGTTATTTAATCTGCGCGTCTCCAAGTCCACAGGTAACATGGAGACAAGAGAGTTCGTGTTAAATACTCTTGAGCCTTTATTACCTCAGTGGTACTTGCTCATCTTTCTGGTTTTGCAAGGCATTTTTCTTTTTAATCCTTAAACATTTCAGTTAGGAAACAGAAACAGAGGAAACTGAGATGTTTTTTATTCTATTGACAATAAGGATCAGCTAAATATGCTGATTTAATCATATTTGCAATCTAGTGACCTATACAAAATTGCAGCTTGGTTTCTTGGTCAGGATGAGAACGCACCTTTTAAAATGTGCCACTTTTAATAACTCAGGAGTTACAACTAAAGTGCTTAAGAGATCTTGCTTTAGTCTTCATTCACAAATAATTCAAGGACCACAAACCATATAATCAGGCAGTAAAATAATTGCAGTATAAAAATATTCTATTTCTTGTTGAATTTGAATTGAATCTAAAATTTTTTTTATTCAAATACGCTGCTTCAATAGGAGAAAAAAAAAGGACAGTAGCATGTTGCCAGTAGAGGGTCTGTTCTGCCTGATCAACTCAAAAATTCATGTTGAAGTGCTGGAATAGTTTGCCATTCTTGCAATTCATTTTGCAAAACAAGTTCCAGACTGAGCTCTGCTTTCATGTATTCTCTCTCCGTGGAAATTATGTCCTTTTTCTCATTTCAAATTAGATGAGTACAATGAAATCCTTATTTTACATATTTATTAACACGGCTTTCATCCCTGTGGTATTGTAACTATCCTCACTATTTTATGCAAAGAAGTTACAAGGAGAACTCACAAACCTGTAGGAGGTATATGTGATCACTCTTTTTCAAACATTATTGCTCATATCTGTATTCTTCTTGCATGTTGCTCTAGCAACCGTTATTTACTGACCTTCCTTTCCATACACTGTTGATGGCATTGATTTTTTTTATTATTTTTTTTTTTAATTCTGAAAAAAATCCCATAGACCTCATGCCAAGGTCAAATCTCTGTGGCTATCCATTGTTACAATCCTGAAGAGTGAAGAAATGATGTTGACTCCACTGTCTGGCATGTGGAGGGTTAAGGGAATTTTTAGCCTCACCAAAAAGTATTTGGTCAGGTACTCAGGTGCTGGAAATTTTCTTAGCAACATCAGTCACCTAGGAACATGATCAGCTGCTGTTCTGGGGTAGAGATTACAGAGCTTAATGATTAGCTACTATAAGCTGCAGCTGATGCCAGACTCTACCCCCTTTACACCTAATTAGCCTCATTAATGAGCTCTTCTGCTCTCCACAGAGAGGGCTTCCTCCTTGGAATAGGAGGCAAAAATACTTCACCCAGGTAGATGTGCTGAAACCTTTAATTATTGCCCACACCTGCAAAGCCTTGTGTCTCTGACAGCAATATTGCTTAGCTGAAATTGTGCTTATTTACAGTGACCACAGTACAAAGTATTAACTCTTTAGCACCTTAGGAATAGTTTTTAAGCTTTGGAAGTATTTATGTAGGGTATAAAGCTAAGCACTCAAAAATTTTATGCTTAATAAAGTTGGGCATGTTGGGGGGGGAAGGGTGGGTGTTGTATGTGACAAAAATGGTTTTAAAAGTTCCTGAGTATTTTGTTTAACCCTGACATGAGTGTCAATGGCTGTTTGAATGTCAAATATTGCATTACCAGAACTAAGAATGCTGTTAGTGAAGTTTCATCCTTTATATGAGCAACTTTTGCATTTGGAGCAATGTTATTTTTTTACTGCTAAAATTAAGGTATGGAAAAATACACATGCAGTAATCAATGCAGCAGACAACAACTGAGCCAATGAAGCGTTCTGGTGTGATTCTTAGTTACAGCAATTACTGGTAAACATCTAGTACTTTCTAGTGTTTAAATTTCTTGAAATTTGGTAACATTGTGTTTGTTTTGTTGTTTATCTGTTTTAATGCTAAAATAGCTATGTAACATTTTTGTTACATAGACACGTAGAGCAAACGTGTATGTACATTTATTAGATTAGCTCAAAAGGCAGCTCAAGTCTGTGCTTATTCTAGTTTTTAATGGGGAAAGTTCAAAATGCTAATTTCTCAGTGCACATACTTTGTTGCTTATTTACTAACTTTTTCCACAGTAGCCAACTTTCTTGACTTTTCAGTGGGAAATGCCTACTGTGAAAATACCTAGCATCCAAGACGTAGTACTCCGTGGCCCTGGAGAGAGTGTGATACAGCCCTGCGGAGTGGTCGGCTTCCTTGAAGAGGCAGCGAGCAGGTGGCGAGTGTTTTCTTTTAGTGTTGTTCCATGGTTATTCACCTGGCTTTCTCGGCTTCTGGCCCCCCATTGCAGCGGGTGAATCAATCACAGAGAAAATCTTGGGCTTTAGGATGCTCAGAGTCTGCAGGCAGCTGTAGGCACAAGTACTGGTTCTTTCTGAGGGCGTTTGAGCCAAGGAATTTTTTTTTCTTGTAAATGCATCTTCTAAGATGAATAGAAGATCGCGTGCCTCCTGCCAGGCATGTTCAATGCCTGTGGAGAGTGATGGGGCTTTCCAACCAAAGTTGTGAGGTTGTCACATTTTAGTCGACTTTGTTTCCCTTGAAGATGTTCTCAGCAGAACGCTGAGCTGATTTGAACTACGGCTTTAAAGTTAAAAAGGAATTTGGAACGGAAAACATGTATTCATACTGTTGAAAGAATATTAAGAAACTGAAAATAGAGTCTCAAAGCAATAAAAGACATCATTTTTAGCAATTCTTATCAGTAGGTAGAGCAAAGTTTGTTTTACTTTGTTAATAATTGAAACAGCATCAAGCCTCACCAGCCAAGATGTAATAATGCAATGTGTGAATCACAGAAATTCATACGCATTTTTCCATGAATGCAATTTGAATTGAATGCCAAAATAAAGCATCAAAACGAAGTTTTTTTGGAGAGATTTGGGTAATGTTTTGTCAATTGTTAGTGCTCCTTTTAACTATTACATAAATGGGATTGAAGTTTGCAGACTCTTCTGATGGAAATCTTGGCAGGTTTCATTCTGTTTCCTAGGTGAGAAAGCCTGAGCTTCCAGGGCAGATGAGAAGGACTTTTACAAGATAAAAATTATCATTGAGGGCATGTGGGTCTGGAGGGGAGCAGAGCTGGCATTTTTGGCCCAGCGGATATCTGCCCATCTGCTCTCTGTCAGAACATGTTAGAAGTGCATCTGGATCTGTGCCCCAGCGTTTCGGCTCGGAGCGGCTCGTGCGCTTGTCTCCACGACAACTCGAGGAACTGAGTAAACTGCTGCGCTCCCAGCCAGATGCTTCTCTGCACATGTGGTCTAATTAGATGGCATTTTCCCCCCTCACAATAGAGTTCAGAAATTTTGCATGGTTTCCATGTCAGAAATGTGTAGCTGATATAATGGGAGTTGGGAGGAGTCATGTGGCCAAACACAAAATAATTACACTTGCTGCAAAGCTGGGCTTCAGTGTGTGAGAGCTGTGGGTCTGCAGGAATTCAGAACAAATCCCTTCGGTTGCTTCACCGTGGATTGAGCAAAACCTGCGGGGGAAGTGGTGAAAGGAAAAACCTGCTTTTTTTTCATCCACACACTGGATGCAACTTTCTCTTTATGAATATATTGGGAAGGAATTAGGGGACTGAGATTACAAATCTTGCAATAAATGGTTGCAAGACAGCATTCTCAGTCTCTCAGAGGCGGGATTTCTTTTTACTACTTTTTTTTTTTAAAGGGTTTGAATAAAAACTGCAAGAAGTGAGATGTGCTCGCTTCCACTTGCCTGTGGAAGTAAAATGAGATGTAACTTATAAAAAATGATAGTTTCTAATATGGCAGGATCCTCAACCTATTGTGAGACAGGAAAAGGGCTTCATTTAGTCCCAGTGATCGAGGAGCTCGGTTAAAAGTAATTGATAAGTAACACAGTTTTTGTGGTTATACTAATGTGGCTTTTTCTGTCTTGCCTTCTCACACGGTAAAATCTGAGCCTCTTTCTGACAACAAAGAATTAATAAATGGTGAGGAGAGAATGAAGAGTTCTCATTTATTTAAAAACGGAAATGCTTTGCTTTGCTTTTTTGCACCTGTGAGGAGAAACATCTTGAGCGGTTGTGGACTTGATTTCTTAGTTCTTGCCCAAAAGTTGTGGGGGCAGACGTAGTATACTCATGCTCCGTAATCAGCAGTATAGAGGCAGTTGTCTTTGGTGGGGCAAGTTCCAGTTGTTCACAGGAACGGATGGTGTTGCGTCTTTATAAGTCTAGTGACTCTAGTTACTTTACTGATTTATAATCCCACTTATATAGTAAATAACCATAGCAAGCGTATGTGTGTATGCATTTATATATTAGTCATTGACCGCTTAGGTTTCCCCAGAGGCAGTTACCTGAGTTGAACAGAAAGGAATGAAACCTTTTTCCAGTGTTCCTAATCCGGTGCCTTTGATTATCTTTCCTGGAGGATGTGATAAATTCCTCCTCTAAAGTGACTTCTTTTCTCGCTGTGTTTTTTCATCACAATAGTTGAGGTTTCCACACCAAATTATCAAGTGGCATTACGTGACAACAAAGCAAACCTCAGTGTGTTCTGCTGTGGTAACAGCGTTTACTTTGCCAGGTATTATATGAAGGAGGTGGCGTTGCATATCATATCCAGTGCGTTGGTGTATCTACCAGAGACTACATGTCTCCAAGCTAGTGAAAATTTACAGTTCAATTCCATTATATCCATTTAATTTATAGAGATGGGGGTTTTGTTACTTAGCTAAGAGAGTGGGATTTTATGACCTGCCTTTATGATGGAAGCTTCTCTCGCATTGCTTTAGTGACGTTAAAAACAGCTTATTATCCTTCTGCATCTATATTAGCATCTAAGTATGATATTAAAATATTTCCATCTTGAAAATAGCTGTTTTATTCAGTGTGGTTTTGGAGATCATGATACAAAGGAGTCGTACACATCTTGCACAAATATGTATTTTAAACATATTTACTTGGGTGAATCCTGAAAGCTTCGTTGATGTGGATGAGTTTTGGCTTTTCACATGTATCTTAAGAAATCAAAAGAAAGCAAAATATTAACACTTGTGACCTCTAGGGTTATTGGTAATTTCTAAATCTTCGTCAATCATTTCTTGGTTTTGCAGAGATTTTTTTTGCCTATTTTAACAAAATATTATGTATTCTATTGCGTTTTAATAAATGAAACAATAACAGGGAAAAAAAGCTTGTCATTTATCTCATAGGAAATACTTTGTGTAGAATGTGTTTCGGAGCACACTTTTACATTTTGTCGTAGTATAAAATGACTCATATAAAGAACTGCACTGTAATTTTTCTCCTTTTTTGTATTGTCACTAATGTTCCACAATAGTTAAAATAGAAAAAGGCCTTATTATTATAGGGAACCTGAATTGGTAGCTGCTTTGCATGCCGAACATACCAGCTTCAATGGGAGTATTGCTCATGGAATGATTGCAGAACTAGGCCCTGAAATTACCTTGCCAGCTAATGATAAAATCGCATGCAGGCCACAGGGGTTTTTGTGGAATAAATATAAGAGTGGAACAATATACAGTACA